TCTAGGCGAGTGGAGGCTGCGTTCCCAGGGAAACCGAGGCCGCAAGGCCCCCAGTCGCTGAGGGCCGCTCGGCAGATGGGGCCGCCTTTGTCTCCCCGGGCGGGCAGATGTCACTGTGTGTGTGTGTGTCACTGTGTGTGTGTGTCACAGTGTGTGTGTCACTGTGTGTGTGTGTCACTGTGTGTGTGTCACTGTGTGTCACTGTGTGTGTGTCACTGTGTGTCACTGTGTGTGTTACTGTGTGTGTCACTGTGTGTATGTCACTGTGTGTGTCACTGTGTGTATGTCACTGTGTGTGTCACTGTGTGTGTGTGTCAGTGTGTGTGTCACAGTGTGTGTGTCACTGTGTGTGTGTCACTGTGTGTCACTGTGTGTGTGTCACTGTGTGTCACTGTGTGTGTTACTGTGTGTGTCACTGTGTGTATGTCACTGTGTGTGTCACTGTGTGTATGTCACTGTGTGTGTCACTGTGTGTGTGTGTCAGTGTGTGTGTCACTGTGTGTGTGTCACTGTGTGTGTCACTGTGTGTGTCTGTGTGTGTCACTGTGTGTGTGTGTCACTGTGTGTGTGTCAGTGTGTGTCAGTGTGTGTGTGTCACTGTGTGTGTGTGTGTCACTGTGTGTGTCACTGTGTGTGTGTCACTGTGTGTGTGTGTCACTGTGTGTCAGTGTGTGTGTCAGTGTGTGTGTGTATCACTGTGTGTGTGTCAGTGTGTGTGTGTGTCACTGTGTGTGTGTCAATGTGTGTGTCACACACTGACACACACACAGCAGAGGTGTAGGGAATTCCAACAAGGCCTACATCTCTGCTTTATTGACCTGGTCAAGGCCTATGATACCATCAGTAGGCCTGGGCTCTGGGTTGTTCTTCGTGCTTTTGGAGTTCCTGACCCTCTGCTCACGATCATTGAGGACCTTCATGATGGTGAGCGGGCCCGGGTAAAACTACGTGGCCGGGAATCGGAGCCATTCCCTGTACATCTTGGGGTGCGACAGGGATGTCCTCTGGCTCCCACATTATTTAACATCTACTTTGGCCACGTAGTTCGTGAAGCCTTCAATAGCTGTACCGGGGGAATCTCCATATGGTACAGATATAATGGGAGGCTGATCGATGCCCGGGTGCGGTCAAGGGATGGCTCCCTATTGCTCAACCACGTTATGTATGCCGATGATTTGGTAATAGCTGCTCATTCAGAGGAGGAGTTGGAGACGCTGCTGCTGAGGTTGTAGCGTGCAACTAAGAGATGGGGCCTTACCATCAGCCCCACCAAAACTAAGCACCTGCCTGGGTATTTTGTACCATCGGACACTCCACCCCCACAACTCCCAATCGGTGATGGGGCAGTTGTGGAGAGAGTGGAGAGTTTCCCATACCTGGGCAGTGTGCTTATGACTGGCTCCAGTTTAACAGCAGAGGTCTCACTCCCAATCAGTCGAGCGGCAATATCTTTTCATCGGTTGCATAACGCTGTGTGGAAGCTACCTGGTCTGTCGCTCCGCACTAAGCTTCAGGTCTTGGCCACGGTCATTCCCTCCCTTCTCTACGCTTGCGAAACGTGGACCCCCCCTAATGGAACATCTTCGCCGGTTAGAAACATTTAGGCTGGCCTGCCTACGATCCATCCTGGGTTTAACCAGACTGGATTGTGTGAGGAGCTCACAAATCCTTGAAAGATCTGGGCAGGGTCCCATCGGTGAGCTCCTCCGGCAGGAAAGGCTGCGATGGCTGGGCCATGTAGCCCGCATGCCCAGCCACCGCATGCCGAAACAGCTTTTGTTTGGCCGGATTCAGGGAGCTAAGCGGGCGCGGCACGGGCTAGAGAAGAGATGGAGTGATGTGGTACAGGAGGACTTGGAGCTGAGTGGACTTGCCGATGACTGGTACCAGCGGTGTCAAGATCGGCCTCTGTGGAGGAGGCTCGTGAAGGATGCTACTGGGCAGTTGGAGGTAGTCGCCCTCCAACAACAACGGAGGGCGGAGGAGCGACGCTCAGAACAGCGAGCGGAGCGCCGGGTGGCTAAAGCACAGCAGGTTGGCACAGTAGGGGGCACAGGTGGTGCATCAGCCAGTCATCTCAGTCAGTCGACCCGTGGCACCTGGGTCTGCCCAGTGACCTCCTGCCAGCGGGCGTTCGACACTTCACGTGGCCTCACGGTGCACATAGCCTGGCACAAGCGTCGTGGTGACGTCACCGCCACTTAGTGGCGAATGGCGGTTGTTGTTGTTGTGTGTGTGTCACTGGGGGTGTGTGTGGTTGTAGTGGTGGCCGTAAGCGGGAATCGAACTAATGTCGCCAGGTTTGTAGTGCAGCGTCACTAACAGTGTCACTAACAGTGTCACTCAGAGTGTCACTGTGTCACTGAGTGTGTCACTGAGTGTGTCACTGTGTCACTGAGAGTGTCACTAACAGTGTCACTAACAGTGTCACTGAGTGTGTGACTGAGAGTGTCACTGAGTGTGTGACTGAGAGTGTCACTGAGTGTGTCACTGAGAGTGTCACTAACAGTGTCACTGAGTGTGTCACTAACAGTGTCACTAACAGTGTCACTGAGAGTGTCACTAACAGTGTCACTGAGTGTGTCACTGAGAGTGTCACTAACAGTGTCACTGAGAGTGTCACTAACAGTGTCACTAACAGTGTCACTAACAGTGTCACTGAGTGTGTCACTGAGAGTGTCACTAACAGTGTCACTGAGTGTGTCACTGAGAGTGTCACTAACAGTGTCAATGAGAGAGTGTCACTAACAGTGTCACTAACAGTGTCACTAACAGTGTCACTAACAGTGTCACTGAGTGTGTCACTAACAGTGTCACTAACAGTGTCACTGAGAGTGTCACTAACAGTGTCACTAACAGTGTCACTGAGAGTGTCACTGAGAGTGTCACTGAGAGTGTCACTAACAGTGTGACTGAGAGTGTCACTGAGATTGTCACTAACAGTGTCACTGAATGTGTCACTAACAGTGTCACTCAGAGTGTCACTGAGTGTGTCACTGAGTGTGTCACTGAGTGTGTCACTAACAGTGTCACTGAGAGTGTCACTAACAGTGTCACTAACAGTGTCACTGAGTGTGTGACTGAGTGTGTCACTAACAGTGTCACTAACAGTGTCACTGAGTGTGTCACTGAGAGTGTCACTGAGAGTGTGTGATCCGGGATCCCCAATCTCCGATCTCCAATCTCCGATCCCAGATCCCCGATCCCCCCGATCTCCGAACCCCGATCCCCGGACCCCGATCTCCAATCCCCGACCCCCAATCCCCGATCTCCGAACCCCGATCCCCGGACCCCGATCTCCAATCCCCGATCCCCAATCCCCGATCTCCGATCCCCGATCTCCGATCCCCGATCCCCGATCTCCGATCCCCGATCCCCGCGTTACGGCCACCGCCCATCTCCGCCCTGCCTGGCGTGGTGAAGTATGGTCGGCCAACCCCATTGAGGCGGCGTGCCTAGGCCATCATCCAGCAGTGCATAGATCACGGCTGGTGATGATGATGATGATGGAACTGACACGGGGAGGAGAGTGAAAAATGGCGCGGCAGGGCGAGTCGGGGATGTTGACTACCTCGCCTGGTACGCAGGAGGTCGTGGGTTTAATCCTGACCCCTGACGATGCCTGTGATTTGGTGAGATGTTGACTACCTCGCCGGGTACGCAGGAGGTCGTGGGTTCGATCCCGATCCTGCCGACACCTGTATTTGAGATGTTAACTACCTCGCCTGGTACACAGGAGGTCGTGGGTTCGATCCCGATCCTGCTGACACCTGTATTTGGTGAGATGTTGACTACCTCACCTGGTACGCAGGAGGTCGTGGGTTCGATCTCGACCCTGACGATGCCTGTATTTGGCGAGATGTTGACTACCTCGCTTGGTACGCAGGAGGTCGTGGGTTCGATCCCGACCCTGACGATCCCTGTATTTGGTGAGATGTTGACTACCTCGCCTGGTCCGCAGGAGGTCGTGGGTTCGATCTCGACCCTGACAATGCCTGTATTTGGCGAGATGTTGACTACCTCGCCTGGTATACAGGAGGTCGTGGGTTCGATCCCGACCCTGACAATGCCTGTATTTGGTGAGATGTTGACTACCTCGCCAAGTACGCAGGAGGTCGTGGGTTCGATCCAGATCCTGCCGACGCCTGTATTTGGGGAGATGTCGACAATCTCGCCTGGGATCGAACCCACGACCTCCTGCGTACCAGGCGAGGTAGTCAACATCCCACCAAATCACAGGCATCGTCAGGGTCGAGATCGAACCCACGACCTCCTGCGTACCAGGCGAGGTAGTCAACATCTTACCAAATCACAGGCATCGTCAGGGGTCTGGATTAAACCCACGACCTCCTGCGTACCAGGCGAGGTGGTCAACATCTCACCAAATACAGGTGTCGTCAGGATCGGGATAGAACCCACGACCTCCTGCGTACCAGGCGAGGTGGTCAACATCTCACCAAATACAGGTGTCGTCAGGGTCGAGATCGAACCCACGACCTCCTGCGTACCAGGCGAGGTGGTCAACATCTCACCAAATACAGGTGTCGTCAGGGTCGAGATCGAACCCACGACCTCCTGCGTACCGGGCGAGGTGGTCAACATCTCACCAAATACAGGTGTCGTCAGGGTCGAGATCGAACCCACGACCTCCTGCGTACCGGGCGAGGTGGTCAACATCTCACCAAATACAGGTGTCGTCAGGGTCGAGATCGAACCCACGACCTCCTGCGTACCGGGCGAGGTGGTCAACATCTCACCAAATACAGGTGTCGTCAGGGTCGAGATCGAACCCACGACCTCCTGCGTACCGAGCGAGGTAGGTGACATCTCAATTGGAGGCGTCGACAGGATTGCGTCTGAAACATAAGCGACACGGCAGCTGAGTGGTGCACCTGGTAAAATAAATAAATAAACAAACACAAAAGAGTCAAACTCAGATTTGATGGCATCCACAGAGTGCTGAGCCGGTCCATAATTTATCGGCACTGTACGGAGCAAAGCTAAAGGGCCCCCCTCTCTGGGGCAAGTGCCGTTAGCGAGTAGAAAGCTGCTGGGCAGGCTGTGGTTGGGGCACGCTGTAGCTGGGCAGGCTGTAGCTGGGGCATGCTGTAGCTGGGGTACGCTGTAGCTGGGCAGGCTGTGGTTGGGGCACGCTGTGGCTGGGGCACGCTGTAGCTGGGCAGGCTGTAGCTGGGGCACGCTGTGGTTGGGGCACGCTGTAGCTGGGCAGGCTGTGGTTGGGGCACGCTGTAGCTGGGCACGCTGTAGCTGGGGCACGCTGTAGCTGGGGTACGCTGTAGCTGGGGCAGGCTGTAGCTGGGGCACGCTGTAGCTGGGGCATGCTGTGGCTGGGACATGCTGTAGCTGGGGCATGCTGTAGCTGGGGCAGGCTGTGGTTGGGGCACGCTGTAGCTGGGGCATGCTGTAGCTGGGCAGGCTGTGGCTGGGGCACGCTGTAGCTGGGGCACGCTGTAGCTGGGGCAGGCTGTGGCTGGGGCACACTGTAGCTGGGGCATGCTGTAGCTGGGGCATGCTGTAGCTGGGGCACGCTGTACCTGGGCAGGCTGTGGCTGGGCACGCTGTAGCTGGGCACGCTGTAGCTGGGGCACGCTGTAGCTGGGGTACGCTGTAGCTGGGGCAGGCTGTAGCTGGGCAGGCTGTGGCTGGGGCACGCTGTAGCTGGGGCATGCTGTGGCTGGGGCACGCTGTAGCTGGGCATGCTGTAGCTGGGTGGGGTACGCTGTAGCTGGGGTACGCTGTAGCCGGGGCATGCTGTAGCTGGGCATGCTGTAGCTGGGGCACGCTGTAGCTGGGGCAGGCTGTAGCTGGGGCACGCTGTGGCTGGGCAGGCTGTGGTTGGGGCACGCTGTAGCTGGGGCACGCTGTAGCTGGGCATGCTGTAGCTGGGCAGGCTGTGGTTGGGGCATGCTGTAGCTGGGCAGGCTGTAGCTGGGGCATGCTGTAGCTGGGGCACGCTGGAGCTGGGCAGGCTGTGGTTGGGGCACGCTGTGGCTGGGGCATGCTGTAGCTGGGCAGGCTATAGCTGGGGCACGCTGTAGCTGGGTGGGGCAGGCTGTGGCTGGGGCATGCTGTAGCTGGGCAGGCTGTGGTTGGGGCACGCTGTAGCTGGGGCACGCTGTAGCTGGGGCACGCTGTAGCTGGGCAGGCTGTGGTTGGGGCACGCTGTAGCTGGGGCACGCTGTAGCTGGGCATGCTGTGGCTGGGGCATGCTGTGATTGGGGCACGCTGTAGCTGGGGCATGCTGTGGCTGGGGCAGGCTGTAGGTGAGGCACGCTGTAGCTGGGGTACGCTGTAGCTGGGGCACGCTGTAGCTGGGGCACGCTGTAGCTGGGGCACGCTGGAGCTGGGGCACGCTGTAGCTGGGCAGGCTGTGTTCTGGGCATGCTGTAGCTGGGGCACGCTGTGGCTGGGGCACGCTGTAGCTGGGGCACGCTGTAGCTGGGGCACGCTGGAGCTGGGGCACGCTGTGTTCTGGGCATGCTGTAGCTGGGGCACGCTGTGGCTGGGCACGCTGTAGCTGCGTGACCCGGCCAACGCAGCCTGGCCTGCCCGAGAAGAGGCTCACCGATGGGACCGTGTCCCCAGATCTTTCAAGGATTGCGTGAGCCCCTGTAGTTGTTACAGCCTGTGTCCCTTCTTAAAGAGGGGGACCGCCAGGGCCTCCGGCACAAGCTTATTAATTACAATTTTAATACGTAGTTTGGTGGTAGTTAATTGAAGGTGGAGGGGTTACCAGCACCTCGCACCCATACAGAGCCCCCGTTTGGCCGCTGTGGTGGTCACACATACACACACACACAGAGACACAGACACACACAGACACACACACACATACACACACACATACAGAGACACAGACACACACACAGACACACACACAGACAAAAGACAAAGATCCCCCATATAGCCTGAACAGACTGTAGGGGCAAATGCTGTTAGCGAGCACCTATGAAGGCCGGAACGGTACACGAGGGGGTGTGTGGCCAGCACCACGCCCGACCGCCTTTGTCTCCCTAGTGGCGATGTTTACTACACACCGCACCGGGTACTCATTTGAGGCTGAGTCGACCTAGCGGAGGCCCGGGACCGGTTCAGATAATCGTCACTGGTGTTGGCCGTGAGCGGGAATCGAACCTGGGTCGCCAGGTTCATAGCGCAGCGCGCTAACCGCTACACCACCGCTCCCCACTCACACAGACACTCACACACACACAGAGACACACACACACAGACACACACACACATACACACAGACACACACAGACACACACACACGTACACACACACAGACACACACACAGACACACACAGACACACACACGTACACGTACACACACACACAGACACACACGTACACACAACCGGGCTACCGTAGCACCTCGAGCAGAGTGGTTCAACCTCCCTTCTCAAGTCGTGGCACATGCACGCGGATGCATCTACTGCCAGTGGATGCCTCTACTGCCCACAGATGCCTCTACTGCCCACAGATGCCTCTACTGCCCACAGATGCCTCTACTACCCACAGATGCCTCTACTGCCCACAGATGCCTCTACTGCCCACAGATGCCTCTACTGCCCACAGATGCCTCTACTGCCCACAGATGCCTCTACTGCCCACAGATGCCTCTACTGCCTACAGATGCCTCTACTGCCCACAGATGCCTCTACTGCACGTGGATGCCTCTACTGCCCACAGATGCCTCTACTGCCCACAGATGCCTCTACTGCCCACAGATGCCTCTACTGCCCACAGATGCCTCTACTGCCCACAGATGCCTCTACAGCCCACAGATGCCTCTACTGCCCACAGATGCCTCTACTGCCCACAGATGCCTCTACTGCCCACAGATGCCTCTACTGCCCACAGATGCCTCTACTGCCCACAGATGCCTCTACTGCCCACAGGTGCCTCTACTGCCCACAGATGCCTCTACTGCCCACAGATGCCTCTACTGCCCACAGATGCCTCTACTGCCAACAGATGCCTCTACTGCCCACAGATGCCTCTACTGCCCACAGATGCCTCTACTGCCCACAGATGCCTCTACTGCCCACAGATGCCTCTACTGCCCACAGATGCCTCTACTGCCCACAGATGCCTCTACTGCCCACAGATGCCTCTACTGCCCACAGATGCCTCTACTGCCCACAGATGCCTCTACTGCCCACAGATGCCTCTACTGCCCACAGATGCCTCTACTGCCCACAGATGCCTCTACTGCCCACAGATGCCTCTACTGCCCACAGATGCCTCTACTGCCCACAGATGCCTCTACTGCCCACAGATGCCTCTACTGCCCACAGATGCCTCTACTGCCCACAGATGCCTCTACTGCCCACAGATGCCTCTACTGCCCACAGATGCCTCTACTGCCCACAGATGCCTCTACTGCCCACAGATGCCTCTACTGCCCACAGATGCCTCTACTGCCCACAGATGCCTCTACTGCCCACAGATGCCTCTACTGCCCACAGATGCCTCTACTGCCCGCGGCTGGGACGCACGATGCCGCCCGCCGCGTTCAGTCGACCGCCCGCGGCTGGAGAAATCCAAAGAGCCGGAAAGCTCTTTACACCGTCCCCATCCACACGCGTAGCCGCCTGGCGGACTGGCCTTGAGATAGCGGATCATCGCTCTCGATCGCTTCACTCGAACAATGAGCAGCCTATTGTGAACATCCCCCCCCCACCAACACCCCCCCACCAACATCCCCCCCCACCAACAACACCCCCCACCACCAACACCCCCCACTAACACCCCCCGCCCACCACACACCCTCCCCCCCCCCCACCAAGACCAACCCCCAGGGAGTGCCGTGAGTGGCACTGGCGACCGACAGCCACAGCCACCGTGACCCCTCAAATAGCGGGCAAATCCACGAGCACGTGGGGGGCAAGTCGTGGGGGGCAAGTCGTGGGGGGCAAGTCGTGGGGGGCAAGTGGCCGCGGGTAACGAGTGGCAGCGCCACCTATGAAGGTTACCGGCGCTGTGGCACACGAGGGGGTGGGTGGCCAGCACCACGCCCGGCCGCCTTTGTCTCTCCCCCAGTGGCGACGTTCACACACAACAACAACAACAACCGCCATTCGCCACTAAGTGGCGGTGACGTCACCACGACGCTTGTGCCAGGCTATGTGCACCTTGAGGCCACGTGAAGTGTCGAACGCCCGCTGGCAGGAGGTCACGGGGCAGACCCAGGTGCCACGGGTCGACTGACTGAGATGACTGGCTGATGCACCACCTGTGCCCCCTACTGTGCCAACCTGCTGTGCTTTAGCCACCCGGCGCTCCGCTCGTTGTTGTGAGCGTCGCTCCTCCGCCCTCCGTTGTTGTTGGAGGGCGACTGCCTCCAACTGCCCAGTAGCATCCTTCACGAGCCTCCTCCACAGAGGCCGATCTTGACACCGCTGGTACCAGTCATCGGCAAGTCCACTCAGCTCCACGTCCTCCTGTACCACATCACTCCATCTCTTCTCTAGCCCGTGCCTCGCCCGTTTAGCCCCCTCAATCCGGCCGAACAAAAGCTGTTTCGGCAATGCGGTGGCTGGGCATGCGGGCTACATTACCCAGCCATCGCAGCCTTGCCCGCCGGAGGAGCTCACCGATGGGACTTTGTACCCAAGATTCTTGACCGTGGGGGGCGATCCAAACTCTTACCACGGGATCCTTTTTGTTGTTTGTTATTTGCCGGTATCAAAGTATGAAAACTAAGACCCAGGGTGTGTGCACCGCTTCTCCGTCAATGATAAACGGTGGCTTTGCCCCCTTCTTTATGGCCCAGTGTCACCACCGATTGGTTGACACTGGGCCATAAAGAAAGGGGGCTCTCTCTCTCTCTCCCCTCTGGTGGAGCCCAATCACATTCAACGGCAAAGCCGCACATCGTCACTATCATCGTCATCGTCGTCGTCATCATCGTCAGAGCCACGTCTGCTTGGATGTTCACCGCGAGTAGCGTGCTGTGGCTAACGCAGCTTTGGACCCACTTGCAAAAGCGATAATGATCTGTTTCGTTTTGATAGGGGTTTCCCCCTTTTGTTTGGCAACAAAAGTGAAACTTTTTGTACAAGGATTCATGTTACTGCATTAACCACAATACCTGCAGTCAAAATGCAAACAAAAAACATTCTAGGAAAATATATATTAAAAAAAGATAATATTATAATATATGCATATATTATCATATATTACCACAGACATGGCCGTGTCTAGGTAGACAATGTGAGATGTACGGACAAGGCCGCGTCTAGGTAGACAATGTGAGATGTACAGAAAAGGCCGCGTCTAGGTGGACAATGTGAGATGTACAGACAAGGCCGTGTGTCTAGGTAGACAATGTGAGATGTACAGACAAGGCCGTGTGTCTAGGTAGACATTGTGAGATGTACAGACAAGGCCGTGTGTCTAGGTAGACAATGTGAGATGTACAGACAAGGCCGCGTCTAGGTAGACAATGTGAGATGTACGGACAAGGCTGTGTCTAGGTAGACAATGTGAGATGTACGGACAAGGCTGTGTCTATGTAGACAATGTGAGATGTACGGACAAGGCCACGTCTATGTAGACAATGTGAGATGTACAGACAAGGCCGCGTGTCTAGGTAGACAATGTGAGATGTACGGACAAGGCCACGTCTAGGTAGACAATGTGAGATGTACAGACAAGGCCGTGTGTCTAGGTAGACAATGTGAGATGTACGGACAAGGCGTGTCTAGGTAGACAATGTGAGATGTACAGACAAGGCCGTGTCTAGGTAGACAATGTGAGATGTACAGACAAGGCCACGTCTAGGTAGACAATGTGAGATGTACGGACAAGGCCGCGTCTAGGTAGACAATGTGAGATGTACAGACAAGGCCGTGTGTCTAGGTAGACAATGTGAGATGTACGGACAAGGCCGTGTCTAGGTAGACAATGTGAGATGTACGGACAAGGCCGCGTCTAGGTAGACAATGTGAGATGTACGGACAAGGCCGCGTCTAGGTAGACAATGTGAGATGTACAGACAAGGCCGTGTCTAGGTAGACAATGTGAGATGTACAGACATGGCCGCGTCTAGGTAGACAATGTGAGATGTACGGACAAGGCCGTGTGTCTAGGTAGACAATGTGAGATGTACGGACAAGGCCACGTCTAGGTAGACAATGTGAGATGTACGGACAAGGCCGCGTCTAGGTAGACAATGTGAGATGTACGGACAAGGCCGTGTGTCTAGGTAGACAATGTGAGATGTACAGACAAGGCCACGTCTAGGTAGACAATGTGAGATGTACGGACAAGGCCGTGTGTCTAGGTAGACAATGTGAGATGTACAGACAAGGCCGCGTCTAGGTGGACAATGTGAGATGTACAGACAAGGCCGTGTGTCTAGGTGGACAATGTGAGATGTACGGACAAGGCCGCGT